TTTGACCAATCATATCTAAGTGTTGATTTTTCAGACTATCCACCCTCCGTATCCAATTTTCACTGGAATTGACAATACCTTGTACCAAATATCCCGGAGTATGACGTGTCATACACCTGAAGTGTGAAGTGTCACACTTCATGTAACCAGGGTACACTTAGGGCTACGTACCCCGTTACACTTACCGTGCACTAATCGGTATTTAACGAATGTGTTTTGGAAATCTCCAGCCCATACAAACAACAAGCTCACTTTTAGTAGCAACAACTTACAAAAAATGAAAACTTGCCCAAAAAACTTGCTGAAGGGGATTGATTGACAAGTATGGCTGACCCTGAGTCCTCTGCAACTGCATCGGCGGCAAAGAGTGAGAAGAAGCGCAGCTTCACTGTGACAGAGAAACTGAAGGTGGTTGAAGCCTCCAAGGCGCAGTCGCTGCGCTCTGTCGCTCGTCAGTACAATGTGGATCGCAACTGCGTCCGCGCGTGGCGAGACAAGGAGGCCGAGCTCTCAGCGATGCACCCGACAGCCAAGCGACTTCCGGGCGCAGGACGGCGGCCGTCTACGGGCCCAGTGTCATCTGTACCAGCAGAAAATAAACGTGGCGTGGAGATCTCGCCGCGTAAACGCAACGAAAGCAAGAAACCCAAGACGGAAAGTGAGACCAAAGTGGAGACAGACGGGACTCAGCAGGAGACGGTGGTGGCGGAACAGGAGCTACAACAGCCAGTTCAACCGGCACCTCTGTCAACTAACTACGTGCTGGTAAGGGTTCCAGGGCAAGGAGGGCGCGTTCTCGGAGGTGGCGGCTAAGATGGCGTTTGAGGAACTGCGAACGGCCAATGCGTTGACACCCAGCGACTTCATGACGGTGGGATATTCCCACATGCATGATGTGATGGAAGCCGTAGAAAGGAACGAGCTGGCGTTCGGTGTGCTGCCTGTGGAGAACTCGATTTCGGGCACTTTTCACGGCAATTTGGACCGACTAGTGGCCTCCCATTTAAAGATTGTGGGCGAGGTCGCTTGCGTGCAAGAATTATGTTTGTGCGTGCTGCCAGGTGTAGCTATGAACGAGGTTAAACAGTTATCGTCACACCCGGCAGTGCTAGATCACTGTGAGAGTTATATCTGCGCCATGGAGCGTAGATTGGGCATGATTATCGAGCGCAACGCAGCGTGGGATAGCGCTGGCGCTTGTCAGACGGTCAAACACGAAGAAAAACGTCACGTGGCGGCAATTGCGAGTGAACACGCTGCACATGCGCATGGATTGGTGGTCCTGGAACGTGGAGTTGGAGACGAACTAAACAGCGAGACGCGCTACATGATTCTCGGACGACTTGACGCGACACCGCTGCCACTTAGCGCATCACTAAGAGTCGCAAGCATCAGCACTGGCCCTGCCACAACTACAAAGTCTAGCATCGTTGTGGCTGTTCCTAACGAACCTCAGGCTCTATTCAAGGTCGTCTCGGCTTTCGCTCTCCGAAACGTGATGATCGTCAAGATCGAGAGCCGTCCAGCAGCTACTGCAGGAAGTCTCTTTACAGCCCAGACAACGCACTGGTACGCTGTCGTGATTTAGTACTCATCGCGTTTCACCCAACTAACATGTTCTTGTAAAGGGATTACATTTTCTACATCGACTATATCACGAGTCAGGATCCGACACAGGAAGCGAGACTACGTAGCAATTTGGAGGAGTTCGCTCTCTGGGTGAAAGACCTTGGCACGTACTCGAGCAGCGGCGGTAAGGCAAACGTCGAACCGCCACGATGGAAGAGCGTTATCAATGCAATTTCGTGTTGATGAAAGAAGATATTTTCTAAAAATTTAGAACTCGCTATGTTGATTTGAGACTGCGTCGCGTTAAACAAAACTGCTAAACTATTCTCACTGTACGAACCATTTAGATAATCGAGCTTAAAGTTGGCCAATTGATTTTCGCACTTAACCAAACTGTGACATTTATTGAAAGCTTCCATCGAAAAAACTATAAATCTACCAAGAGCTTTTAAATAACACTTGAATTTTTAAAATTGAAAAATATTGAGCTCACAGCACTCCTAAATGTATCGTCATTTCGAGGGCTCATAAATGGAGATAATGTTTTTGAGCGACCACAACTTCTTCAGTTTTAAGCATTCTGTAGCTTATAAGGGGCTTAAGAGATAGAAAGGGACGCCCCGCTTTTCGTTTAGAGTGCTTAAATCGCGAATTCGTACTTAGAGTTCGTAGTATCATAATGGTCTCATTTAAGCTGTCCAATGTTAGTAGCAAATTTCCCGAATTTAGTGATACGAATGGCTAAGTCAG